CCTTTTTCTCCTCCTGCTTCTCCTTCTCGTCCGGGCAGCTCTCCTGGCTCGAAGAGTCACTTTTAAAGTCCGATTTTCCGTCCTGCTGCGCGGCCGGCAGAGGAGCTTTCTGCTCGGCTTCGTCCGCGCCGCCGGGCCGGTGGTGATTCTGGTGGTGGTGGTTCTGGTGGTGATGCTGGTTCTGGTGGTTGTTGTTGTCGCTTTGCACGGCCTCGGGCACCAAACTGTTTATGCTGAACGACGACTTAGGAATCATTTTCACCTCTTTGCGCTCTCCCATATCCAACATCACCGGGCAATGAGGGGGGAAAATGGCAACGAGCAAAAGCGACGAGCACAGCTGGGTTTCAATCTGTCCTGTCTCTGCCTGCGAACCAGGACGGGAAGGAAGGAAGGGGGGATAGATAGGAAGAAAGAAAGTATAGCCCAACAAACTATCTCATGTTCAGTTTGGGGAGAAAAGAGGAAACACACACACACACAACACACATGTACACACACATCGATAGGAGACAGATAGCTGCAATTAATTAGGGAGCCACAGCCACTAAAGCAAGTGAAAAACATTGGTTGGACCTTTCCAGTCCTCAGCCAACCAGGGGAACATTAGTATTAAATATTAAGGCGTCCTCTGCGCTTTCAGCCAATCATGACGCACAGGGAAACACACACATCCACCAATGCCGTGCACGCTGCAAAAAGTGCCCACGACGACGACGACGAGCCCTTTCACGGCTTCATGAGGCTTAAAAATATTTATTTGCTCAAAATAAACCTGGACATCTGACAGCGTGAGTCGAATTTTTATTGTCTCCGACGTGAAGCGTTTGTTTTGGGCTTTTGTTGAACTGTTGCATCTTTATTAAAACTAGAGGCGCCATCTAATCTTTTAGTCCAATTCTAAAATACAAACACTTCGTTTGTGCAAAAATGAACGTTGTGGGGAAAGATCATTCATTTCTAAGCCAGTCTTGGATTTTTATTTCTGACATGAGTTGATGGAAAGCAGACAATCAGAACGTCTGACGCCCAAACGACTCTCCAACACGGACACTTTTTGCAGCGTACAAAACACACTCACCCTGATCAACACTCGCCTGCCTTCCCCTCATCCCTCCCCTCTCTCATTCCCTCCCCCACCTAAACTAAAACCGTGGCTGGAAAACACACACCGTGTATGCGTACACCCAAATCCCCGCCGCTGCTCATATTTACACTCCTCTGATTCAAATATTTCCCCTTCGGCGTCTCCAAAACTGTTTACATTCCGAGCCGGAGGGAAAATAAACAGGGGAGAGGGGATCCGGAGGACACGGTCAGGACGCGCGGACGTGATCTGTGTGTCACACTGAAACGCGCAGAGAGGCCACGGTCTGTTTCTCCTAAGCCCATTCTTCGTGCGTAAACTGCGCGTAAAATGTGCGCCGGGGAGGCGTAAACACGGTGTCATATCAGCGCGCAGCTTCCAGGAACGTTTGTTTAGTCAGTTTCCTCCCGAAGGCTTCATGTTGGAGGAGAATTTAACATCAAGCCCTGATCAGCACAAAGTGAAGCGAAGGCGGAGGCAGGCTCAGTGAACCAGGGATAAAGAGTGGAGCAGGAGGCGCCGGAGGACACGGGCGGAACTTTTTCAAACTAAAGATTAAACCCAACACGTGTTTCCGGACGTTTAGTATTACGGTATTAATTATAGCCAGAGAAATATTCTTCTACTATGTGGAGAAAGGATAAATCCAACTTGTTCTCTAACAGGATTTATTTCCTTTTTTTAGAACTTTCAACTTAATCTTTATATAATCCAAACACTGGTGTTAATAACCATCATCAACCAGTAACCTCCAGCACTTACTGCTACTAAAACTACTACAACAAGTGAACAACTGCACATTTAGTTTGGCTCTTTCACCAACGTGTAGCGCGTCTGTATCAAATAACCACATGACAGGAATAGTTCTGAAACTGCTGGTTAGAGCCACTGATACTGCAACAGTATTATTACTGCAGTACTAGTAGCAGTAGCTGAATCCACGTGCTACTGTATTTGTTCTAATATTCTGAGGTATCTTTTGATAGGACTCATATTGTTGCTCCAGCTACAATGTAAATACACAGACTACCTCCTGATGTTTCTGCTCTTCTACTACACAAGCTGGCAGATATTTGGACCGTTAGGAATATTTGGTGAAAAATAAAGTTCATCATGCAAATATAAGCAGATACTACTGTTACTGCTAGTACAACTACTATTAAAGCTTTGTCCTAGTACTAGTCTAGTGTTAACAGTGGTACTAGTACTGCCACTGAAACTACAGCAGTGTGTAGTATTATAGTACTGATGTAGTATTAGTGCTGAAATGTCTACTACTAGTAGTACTGCAGTAATTACAGCATAGCATGATGATGATGATGATGATGATGCTTCCCTTCAACCAAATTACATAAAATCGAACTGTGGGTCTCCAAAATAAAAGCTGCAGAAAAATGATTTCACCACAGTGAACGTCATTCTACCTTAAATCCTGCAGTCACAACACTTTTAAGGTGGTATGAGAGGCTCTGACCCACGCACAATCCTCGCCTCCAGAGCTGATTGAACATGTTTCAGATTTTGCTGTTCTAAAATAGAAACCCAGAGAAACGAGGGGCAACAAACAGAAACGTGAGCTCTTGTTTAGCTTCATTAGCAGCGGAGGAACAGTCAACACATGGCTGATAAGACGCTGCACCGAGTTGTAAGCCCACATGTTGTATTACTGGCCCGCGTGTGTCAACAACGTGTCCTGTGTTTTCTGATTCCAGCTGTGCTTCAATGGGTGTGTTTCACAGAGCAGCCTCCACCTCTGGCTGCAGGAGGAGTCCGAGCCACATCCATGAAGGAACATTTAGATCTGATTACAGCTGCACCACAGAGCAAACCTGCCAGGAAGTGACACCCGTCCACCGACCGAGAGAATCCCCCAGTCAGACTCCTACATGTTGAACACAACCTGCAGCTGTTTGGCTCCGGACGAAGCTCGGACTCACGGGCCGGCTCGTACGCACTGAAACGCGCCCGAGCTTCACAGCACTTGCTCCCTGTGAACAGGCCGAGCTGCAGCCCGGAGCTGTGCGTCTGCTGAGTCGGAGGAAGGCGGGGCACGGCGCAGCAAACCCCGGTTTGCATCAGAACAAGCCATTTAGTTCCATTCTGGAGGCTCCTGGTGCGCAGCTGGCTGCACAATACAATTCTAATGAAATCTTAAATTAAACCCGTTTCATGCACAGTTTCTCTGAATGTGCACGTCAGTATGTTTTAGGTTTAATTTGCTTTTTGAACGAGTCTTCTCCGTTTAATTTAGTTTGGTTCACTCCCCCAGTCTGTACTGAGGTGCAGGTCTTACATGAGGCCTGTTTCTGAGGTGACGCACCTTCGTGTAGGAGGTTTTACTAGAACTGGTCAGAAAGTATAAATAAACCAGAGTCAGGACTTCGTACCTGGGCAGTACATCATCATCATCATCATCATCCTTTATTAGCAGACTCAAGGTCCATACAAAAAAGAAATAAAAGAAAAAGAAAGGATATAAAAGAAGAAAAATAAATAAATAAAAATCATAAAAGACATTTATACCAATGTTTCCACAGAGAGGATTGGTAACGTACTACACTAAAACCAGGATTAGCCAGCATCATTATAAGACTGTTCTCAGAGGGTCCTAATTGTTCCATGGCCATCAAGACTAAAATAGTGCATTAGTAATGATAATACAATCGAAAACAAACCATCATTCCCGCCCAGTCGGTGCTGTTTCCCAGGGTTTGAGGAAAATCTTAGTGTAAATGTAAAACTGGTTTGTCAGTTGTCCTACCTATGCCTTTAATTTCATGCTTTTATTTTGGTGGGACGGTTTAACTTGGCGCTGGTTGTTTATCCGCTGCTCTGTGACACTCGGTAAAGTAAACATACTGTTGTTTACTGCTGTTGTTTTGCTCAGAGAAGCTGAAGATGTGAGCGCAGTTTGGGTTGGTGCTGCTGTGCGTCCTTGTTGTGTGTCTGTCGGACTGTGAGACTGCAGCATCCAAACAGACCTGAGGAGGAGGAGGAGGAGCAGGACGAAGCCACCAGCCTCACAGATAAACCTGCACAAACTCTTGTCTCACCTGCAGCTTCGTCAGCAAAGCGACGAGGAAGAGGAGGGTCTGTCAGGGAGGAGCTGACCCTAAACATCTACAGACCTCCACTTGTTACAGCTCCATCCTTCTTCTTAGGAAATGTAAACTACTGTGACAGAGGAGGCGAGTGCACGAACACTGTCCGAACTCAGACCTGCAGCGTGAGGCTTGACAGGGGTCGAAGCGCGTTCCCGCCAGAATCCGTTCACATTTTCTCCTGATCTTAAATCATTCACACACTTAGAAGCACAAGTGACACCTTGGCCAACCACGTTGTTCACTTGGTTTTAAAGTTTAGAACAAGTGGAGATGCTCGCGCAGCGCAGCACGGTGACCCGCACGGGCACCAACCAGACTCCGCTGTTTCCAGTTCACGTCATTAAACTGTTCACGTTGTCTGAAGGAAGGAAACAGGCCGAACGACCACTGAACATTCAGGAGCTCCTCTTGCTGTGCGCGGAGGGGACAAAGCAAAGCAGCGCCTCTGCGTGTCCTCACGCACAACCTAGACTCAGGTTCGCAGTGTGGAGCAATGGGGCTGGCTAACACCTGGGCGTTCTAATCAAACTGCCCCAGACTCTTTTAAAACACAATGTAAATATTAGACTTCCCCAGGAAACAAAGGTCAAAGAATAAAAAGAAAAGCCTTAAAATGACGCTTTGGTCTGAACCGTGAGTCTGTGGCGACGCGAGAGTAGAAAACTGTTTCAGCAGCTTCACCAGCTGCTTTTAGTCTAAAGACGTGAGCCACCGTTAATTAAATCTGTAAGAAAACATACAGCCTCCAGATGTCCACGAGGAACACGCACTGAATCCAGTCTGTCAGCAGGTTTAAACATTTCTATTTAACACAGCAACATGACAAACCTGCAGTCTCCGCTCTGCGTCATCATCAGTGGAAACCTTGGCCTTTTAATACAGGAACCAAATCTGGTTGTGTCATTTACCAATGATGGTTAAATGTAGTCGGATGGCACAGAGAACGAAGCACGCGGGCGACCTTTGACCTCCAGCAGGACAATCGTCATCTTAAAGAGCATTCACGTGTAATCGGAGCTGATTCCTCCTCACGCGGACACGAGCGCAAAGTTTTGGTTTGTGATTAAAACATCTGATCCAGATGTGTAACCAGCTGTCAGCTCGAACTTTCCATCTGCTGTTTTTCTCCGCTCAGACACAAACAGAACCAGGAACTCTTTAGGAGGAACAAGGCCGCCAGGTCTGATGGGAATCCAGAACCAAAGGAAGTAACGACGATGAAGAACCTGGAGCTTATGAAGGATAAAGGAGTTCCTTAAGGTCTAAGGAGGCCTCAGTGGGGTTCCTCTTAAGTCAGATCTAATATTAGTAGGGGGCTCCTGTGGCTCTTAAACAGGTGCTACTGCTGCTGCCAACATTTGGGTTTGGTGGGGTTCTGCAATGAGCCCAGCTGGTCTTAATGGGTTCTCGCCAGCTTCTCAAGAGCTTACTAAGGGGTCTCTTAAAAGGGCTCTAGGTGAACCTACAGGCTCTTAAACAAATGAGGATTGGTGCCTAAGGGGGTTCTGCTGGTTCTTTACAGGTTTATTGGGGGTCCTAGCAGTTCATAGGTCAAATCTATTGGTAGGGTCTCTCATTCTTAAGGAGGTGGTTCTGAGAAATGTTCAGGGGTTTTACTGATGTTTAAGGGTTTGAAGGTGTTCCAGGTGACCTTATGACCTTAAAGAGGTTCCAGGGGTTATTAAATAGGTTTAAGGGCTTCTTTAGGGCTCTGCTGGTTCTTCAAAGCCCTTCAGAGAGTCCAATGACGTTTTACTGCTTCCTCTGGGAGCCCTCAGGTTTTTGTGCGATTAAAAACAAACAGATTTGCATTTTTTGGCTTTTCATGTTTTCTTGCATCAGAAGTTTGTTCTTCCAGTTGATTTTAGACAGCAGAACCTTCACCCTGCCTGTACCTGTGACCTTTGACCTCTGTCTCAGGGGGTCACAAACGGGGGAAGGAGAACTAAAACAGAGCGTCAGTGCTTCCTGGTAGAAAACAAGGTGCATGTAGAGGCTGAATGTTTGGACACAACAAGTTACTGTTGATGTTGTTTTTAAGGCTCAGAGCGAACGAACGCGCGAGAGAGGCGGGGGAGCGCGCCTCCCAGCGGACGACACTGGAACCGGCAGAAATCCCATTTACATTCAGGCTGATCGATTCATCTAAACTGGGATCGACTTGATTTCCTCCGTCACCCTTTAGAAACATTTGATCTGAGGCGGAAACACTCACATAACACGCACAAGCAATAAATCGTCCTTTGTAATCAACACAGGGCAAATCTATTTAAACTGAGTTCATATTAGTGTGTTTTTATTTTGTCAGCTCTCGGTGAAACAGACCAACGTAACGTGACGACGCCCAGACAACCAGAGTCAGACTGGAGACGGGTTTTAAGTTTTAATCCAGATGTGTGTTTACAAGGAAAAACACAAGACAAATTCATCTTAAATTATTCTTCACCGTTTATATTGTATTCCTACAGTTTTGCAGTATTTTTGTCACAATATTTAGTATCTCTCTTTTTTAATGTCTGTTTTCGTGAATGCTACTTGTAAATAAAAATATTCTGCAGTTTATTATAATACATTTTATTCTAATAAAAGGCAGAATGAGAAATATAATAAAATAAATACATTATCTTCTTTTTTAGCAGGTAGTTTTAATTTCTTTTTCTTGATCAAAGACAATGCTGCACATTTTAGTAATAATCTACAGCCACAAATATATTAACTGTTATACACACACACACACACACATATATATGTATATATATGTGTGTGTGTGTTTTTACAGAATTATCCACGTTAATTAAACCAGCCTGCCTTCATTTTGTTTTATTTTCTTTTAGTTTTTTGTGTCCAATTCACAATAGGTGCCAGAAGTTACACACAAAGCAACATAAAAAAATCCTGTGTAATTATAGCAGATCAGACAAACTGTCAGGTTGTTAAAAAAACAACTTTAGCTAAATTCTTTTGTAAAACATTTGTTTTAATTAATTTTAAAAAGAAAAACTCTATTTTTGAAATTCTGTGCCCATGAAATAAAAACACTCGTCCTTGTTTGTGTGCAGACCAGTGAAACATGTGGATAGAAATAAATAAAAAGTCAGCAGAGGATTTAAAACGCGACGAGCAGCTGAGTCCTGAACCTGCAGAGCCGCCGATGACGAGCCCGCACCCGGCGTGAGCACCGCGAACAGCCCGGCTCCAAAATACAATTCATGGAGGATTTTCCTTCTTAAAAAAAGACACAACCCTCGCGTGTCCAGTGGCGTGCCCGTGAATTAAACTGGTGGGACTGGTTTTACCTGCTGGAGAAATTGTGTCTGCGGACTCCTGCTGCTGCTTTTACCGTCGCCGTGAGCTGAATGTGGAAGCAGGAATCAGACGGAGGCCTGGAGGGACAAAAAAGTCCCGGTGAAGCTGGTGCTCACTCCGACACTGAACCTCAACATTAACGGCCACATTCATAAGGACGAATCAACCAAAGTCTCTTCATTAAACTCTAATAAACGGACGCAGGATTTAAGCTAAATTAAAAAGACATTTTTAATTAATCGACACTGATTTAGTTCCGTTTTTATTCAAAGCATTTAGATCATTGGAGGTTTAAGGAGTTTGTTCCTAAAGGTGCTTTAATTATCAGGCTGCACCATTTGTCATTCCTGAAGTGGAAACACAGGCCTATACCTTTACACCAACGGCCTCCAGCCGGTTCGGTTCGGTTCGGATCCACATGGTGCTTTGAACTTTACGGCCCGTTTCTGGTTATTTGTGAGTTCCGTGAGTTGGGCCTGCGCGTGTCGGACTTGGTTTGAGACGCGCACCAAACGGCGACTGAAGCTGAAAACCCGACGTTTACCAGAGAATCAGTAAAGCAAAGTAACAGACAGCTCCAGCGGTGAAAAGTAGACGTGATGGAGGAGAAATGCTCTGGTTCCAGCCTCAGATTATTAAATAAAAGCCATAAAATGTGAGTGCCGACGCGGTGAGAACGGAGAAATCCCCGCTGTCCTGCAGCACAAAAACAAGCAGAAAATCATTAGCGGTGTTGGCGCCGCGGGGTTAATGGTTCAATCAATGTCAAGCGCTGAAAATAAACTTGTGAACCGGACAATCTGCCGGCGGGCGACCGCGGGCTCCGGCTGGGAGCTCGGGCAGCAGGAGGGAAGGCTCATCCCTGTGGCGACAGCGACACCGTGAGGCCCAGAGGAGGAACCGCACACCTGCGTGAACAGGTGTCACTTCCACCGGTGAGAAGACAGGAGGGGAGGAGGCGTCTCATTACCTTAATCCTCACGGGGTCAACACAGAGGTCACAAGCAGCTCTGAAAGACCCCGCTACCTACTTCATTACCAGTATTCTCACCCCGACCCAAGTCAAAACTAGGAGACCACAGTGTAAAACACATGTCCTGGATTTAAACTAGTACTCATTGTGCAGAAAATGGTCCCTCCATGATTATTACTCCAAATATAAATATCTGTGACTATTATTACTGCAGCCATAAAGTTGTTTTACTGCTGTAGTTGTTTAATACTGTAAGTGCTTATATATATTTATAAAGTTATTTGTCTCATCTGATTCCTATTTAAATATTTAGAAGTGCAGCTGAGTCGAGTCAGATCAGGTCCACAGGGCTGCAGCAGTGGGCCCCCTCAGCTGCACGGATTAAAGCTCCAATGTGGTGAAGCCCCGATTCCATTACCGACATCCCCTTCTTTTCCTTGTCTTAGTCCTGCCCACATATCAAAAATATGTGAGGGAGGCATCAAAAAACGTTGTCTGACCTTTCTTCCTAAGCATCCGGTCATCCACAGATTTCTGATAAAGAGGCGTATCCATAAAAGACTTCTGTCATAAATACGCCCATGTGTCTTCACTCGTGTCTCCTCCAACAGCTTCCTTGCTCCGGGGAGCAGGGAAAAGAAGAGCTTTGGGACAACCTTCATTCAAGATGACAGACTTTTGGGTCAAGTGGGGATTGAGGACTTTGCAACTATCAGTTTAGGGAATTGAGACTTGCCCACTGTCATTCTTCCATTTAGCTTGGCAGTATGTTTAGTGATGTACAGACAGTGACAGATGGAAAGACAGCCCAGCACAGTGTCCCAGTGAGGTACTGGGCCACCCCGTGCCACCAGAACAGCTCCACCATGGCACTGACTCTCCATGAGGGATGAACACTGTTCTTCCAACAGATGTTCCCTCATGTGGTGTTTTGATGATGGTGGTGGAGACGCCGTCTAACACGTCGCTCCAACATCTCCCATAGCTGTTCAACTGGGCTGAGACCTGGTGACTGGGAAGGCCACAGCATCTGGTTAACAACATCATGGTCCTCCTCATCAGACCAGTCAGTGACCCCTGGTGTCCTGTGGATGGGGGGGCTCTGTCGTCCTGGAGGAGGCCACTCGGTTACTCAGACTTTTCTCATGTGTCACCGTCTGTGTAAAAGCTCAGAGGACAAAAGCTTTTGCCAGCGTCAGGCTTTCGAGTGCGAGCATATGGCCACTTCCTGGAGGCAGCACTAATCTAAATGTAAGACGACCTTATCTACAGTAGGCAGAAGCTCCGTCAGTGACCCACCAGCTCAGACAGCTGACCTCTGAACTCAGCCTCTGACAGTTACATACTGGATCGATAAGTCAGTGCACTGCTGGTGTTTCCACTCGACATGAGCAGCTCTCCAGTGAGAGGAAGGAAATAACAGGGGGATCAGGAGGTCGGGGATGAAATGTGGCAAGACTTTATTAAAACATTCAGTGCAATTCAATCAGTATCATGAGTTCAGTGCATGTGTAAAGTTTATTTTCTATAATCTGCTACCAACAGAAATCAATAAAATAAATGAACATAAGTAACAGTGTTCGACTCTGATCTGCAGAAACAGATAAATGACGATGTTACATCAGATATTTATGTTTATGATTCACAAACTGGAGTCAGTTCGTCTGAATGACTCTCACTCAAACACATCAATTGACTTTAATTTCCCCAAACTGAATAAGTGTATGAACTCGTGATTTCCGTCACAAGTCTTAATCTGACTCATTATTTTCAATGATTCATTTATTGATCTGATTGAATGGAGGAGAGGATGAGTCTGAAGATGTTTGGATTTGTTGCTCATTAATAAATAAATTGAGTTCATTTCCAAAAAAAACAAGTTCATCCTTTTATAATCGTTCGATCATGGAGCATCAACTCTGGGAACCACGTCTCCACAAACCTCTTCTGCTTCTAAAGGTGACAAATTTGTTTCGGTTGTTTTGCTGCGGGTCGCCCCGTCACCGATCTGTGGGCAAATGCCTTCCAAACTAAAGCACACATACACGAAGACCAGATATAACCGATCTATTAGTGGACAGTACACTGGACATTGGAGGTGGGGTTAGTGTTTCTGTAATTTAGGAACACTTTACACCTGACTATGTCTGGTCGGTGGGGGCACGCCGTCACTGACACCACTGCACTGGGGGGCGGGAACACAGGAGGCCGTCTGTTTCCAACAAGCAGCTCCAAAGGCTGAGAACAGTGTCGCTGTGCACAGAGTCTGAAGGAAGATGGAGTCACACTGCTCCACCAGCTTCAACATGTTGGAGCCGCTTGTCGGAAACAGGCAGGCCTCAGTTGTTCCTGGTCCGACTTAAGGGTCTAAGGACAGAGGCTGCACACACTGTAAGGGCCCCTGAGGCAAACTAATGAACTGTGACACTGGGCTGTGTAAATAAAATCTGACTTGAGTAGACACTCCACTAACATCCACCCTGTTAGCTCACGGTTTACAATTAAAGGCAGTTATGTGAAAGGGGTCTGGTGATTTTGGTTAAAGGCCAGAAAAGGAAGAAGACCGGTCCCTTCATGAAAACGTTTCACCAAAACAAAAAAAAAAAATTTTACTTGGAATATGATCATTCTTTAGTACGATACCCTCAAGCATTATGTTTGGAATTTGTTTCCGTATTGTTAGTATTTTCAATGTTGTTTAAAGAAACAGTAGCTGCGTCACCTGCACCATTTGGATTCCCCAGAGAGAAGGAAACGTCTGAGTGACCAGGAAGGACGGGCTGGAGACCAGTAAAGCTCTACTTCTTTGTGAAAAACTTCCTGAGGACACTTATCCTCGACTTGCTCATGTTGTCCTCTGTTACCTGGGGGGTCACAGCGGGGGGGTCCTGGGTGTCAGGGGGTGCAGGAGGAGGCACTGAGGGAGGCTGGTTTTGGTGGTTCTGCCCACCTGCAGTCAACAGATAACCAACAGAGAATCATCCAGACGGACTGTTTTACCTGCTGACGTGCACTAATCTGCTGCGTCCTCTCACCTTGGGTCCCAACCTCCCCTCCCTCAGGGTAGTGGTGTTTGTTGTAGTAGGTGTGGGGGGGTTTAGGAGGAGGCTGGCCCTCAGTGGACAACTGTCTCTCCAGGCTCTCAGCTCTCCTGCTGGGAGGTTCGGTCAAGGACGAATCATCTGGAGCCTCAGCCAGCTTCTCCAGACTCAGGTTGACAGAGGACGCTCGCCTGAACAACAGGCTGCCATTAGTTTTAGTATCCATAGCGCCCAAACCACATACCGTTAATGAGCTAACACTGTTTAGCCGGAGAGCTAACATGTTAGCCTGTCTTCTGTTTATTCAGATGTTTTCGATTAATATATTTGCTCCTGGTACAAAGACGGATCAGAACGTGTAGCCTAGCTTAACACAATGACAGGTAGCAGGGGAAACCACACATACTTGCAGATTCCTCATCATCCGCTGCTGTTCACTGCAGTGATACCTCAACATGGCCGCCATGTTGGTACAGGGGGGCCTCCTAGTGCACGTGTATGAAAGCAGGAGGTTTGTGCACAAGTAAAATCATCCTAACTCACAGAATTTGCAACTGATTCTCCAGCTGTTTTGGTTTGTTAATGATAAAAATATATTTAGAACACAGGAAACAGTTAATATTAAAAAAGTGGATTTTCATACCAAAACACTTTCTTTGATATTTCTGGAAGAGTCTTTTGTCTTACTGCAGTGTAAAATGTCATATCACTGCTAATAAAAGATGAAGTTCAACCGTCTCAAGCTTCAGACTTGTTTTTAACCATATTGGATGTGAAATGTTTCCGTTCTTCATATTTACATTTTAACTTGCACATTATTGTGACAGTAAATAAAACACGTGAGGTAAAATATCATCTGAAATCTTATTTGTTGCTTGGTTTTGTCTTGTCTTTCATTAAAACATCTGGAGTCTGGTGTTCTCTGCTGCTTGACCTGAGCCTGCTGCAACATGGCGGCAGCAGAGACACAGCTCTGAGCAGGAAGAGGCGTCTACGTGTTTACATCCTTAACAGCGGCTCCAAGTCCATCTGCTTTGTTGTATCCTGTTTGCAGCAGCTTCCACAGTAGCTGCTGTTAAACCCTCTATTTTACATTCCTGTTTCTACACCTTTGACATAAACATGTCTGTCCTGCACAACTCAATGTGCGGATGTATTCTATGGCTGCCTGACTCATGCTGCCTCCGCAGCACAGTGTACTTCCCTCCGTGCTGCAAACTGAACCAGATGTAATGCGTGTCCTGTGCCACCGTGTGTTTCTCCACCACTGTGTGCCACTGAATGTAATTCACCTTGTCAAAGTATCTCATTAAAGAAAAATCCTGCTGCCAGGGAGTTTCATTTCTTTGGCCTCTCACCCACCCGAGAGGTGCCCAGTCCCCACAGTGCACAGTGTGAACAGGTAGATGTGAAAGTCAAAGTCAAATTACCTTACGCTGTTTGAAAGAAACCATTTCAGTCTGAAACTCCATCAAACACCCCTGACTGACAGACGTCCTGTGTGACCCCGAAAGCCTCCACGCGGTGCTTTATGTCAGCGGCTCTCTGTTCATTTTAGGAACTCCTTCTGATAACTGACAGGCTTCAGATCCAGAGCAGCTCAATCAAAACAGGAATAATAAAGCTACCTATAAAAACCACAAGACAAGCTGACTGGATCGGGGCCGCGGCACCGGCTGCACTGGACGTGTGGGTTCTATCGCTCTACTGGTCTTATATACTGTACGCTATTTTGAAAATGCTGCTTTTCGTGTTGAGTCAAAATACAAACTGAAGTATTTCAGCAGGTAGGACAGAAGAATACTACAAGTAAACAATTGCAATCAAATGTACAAACAGGCAGCTGCAGTGAAATGAGTTGCAAAGCTCGCCTCCACATCCAGTGCTTCACCTACATGGCTTTAAAAACTAGCTGAGGGCATCACATCATATCCCAGGCAGAAATATTAGAGCAGTATAATATGATCCCTACAAAGGTAAAGCTACTGAGCTAAGTGTTTCAGACACACTGTTTTGGTTTTGCCACTGACTTTCATACAAAAACATGATGATTTTCAACCAGCTGCTGAACATTTCCTTTTTAGAAGTTCCTGCTTGCTTGTCTTCAGTTTGGAGCCTCCTTAAAGGCATCACCACCTCTCTGCATTTCAGAGCAGTGATCAGAAACCAATGAAGCCAAAGTAAAACAATCTGGACAAGAGGCAGCAGAAAAGAACAGTGTGTGATGTGTAGCTGATGGGCTGAACCATAGACAAACAGGTGATAAAGTGAATTAAGCACTGGTTCAGAATCAAAGACACACATCAGGTCCAGTAACCTGCAGGACAACGCAGAGAAACATTCAGCAGTGGATGAGATCTGCATTCACGGGACTGACCATGAAGTGAAAAAAGCACCTCAGCCCCATCAGTGCTGGTGCAGGTAACCATGGAACTCTGATCACCTGAAGGAGGAGCACCACACAGGAGGATTCAACATACAACAACACCAGCAGGTGCCGTGACTTTAGGACTCTCTCTGTGAGCTGCTGCATGAAACTGGGATGGATGAGTTGTGAATGCAGAACGCAGTGAAGACCACTGGGGGCTTTTAAGACCAGAAGTCGGTTTAGCTTAAGGTTTGATTTGATTTGATTTAATTTGATTTATTCTTTCAAGCATGTAAAGACAGTTGATATGTCAACACACATAATTTTACACATATCCAACAAATGCTAATCCAATATCAATGTGCTTATACCTAGTACATGCTTGAATGGAGTAGGAAGAAGTCAGACTTATCCAGTCCTACCCCATGACATCATCTTACCATCATTGGTTTGCAAGCAGTAAATGATTCACTTCTACACACACACATATTATACTAAAAAAAGATTATAACGGTGTTAACATTCTTACACCACACAAGTAATATACTAAAGAATTATTACAAAGTGTTAACATTCATACACCACACCCACAATGTTCCATCTAA